CACGGCCAGGAGCACAGCCTGGGGCTGGCTGTAAGCCCTCTGCAGTTGCAGGGTGGCGTGCAGATGGAGGGGGATCTGCCACCACCCTGCTTCTCTTCTTACAGGTTGTGGATGTGGTGCTGGTCTTATCAAAGTGAGCTCTTATCAAAGAATCATAAAACGGTTGGGTTGGAAGAGGCCTTAGAGCTCACCCAATCTCAGCTCCTGCTGTTGTCCCCCCAGACCAGGCTGCCCAGGGCTCCATCCAGCCTGGCCTTGAGCACCTCCAGCGATGGGGCACCCACAGCTCTGGGCAGCAGTGCCAGCGCCTCGCCATCCTCTGAGTGAAGAATTTCTTCCTAACATCTAACATAAACCTACGGTTTTTGGTTTAAAATGGTCCCCCTTGTCCTGTTGCTGTCATGTACAAAGTCGGTCTCCATTTTCAGTAAGGCTGGTCATCAGCCTTCGAGCGTTTCTGTGTGTTGCTGTGTAAAGCGTGTGTTGGTCGTACCTTAAAGCAGGATCCTTGTGGGCTTGGGGAGAAGGGGAATGGGTCTCTTCTTCTCCTTTGTAAGACAAGCTCACAGCTGCTTTGCTAGAAAGCAGTAAAGAGAGCAAGGTAGTTATTTGCTCAATGACAAATATAAACTCAGGAGTCATTGATCCAGAAACATTCTTTCTCTCTGTAGAGACCGTAGCAGAAGCTGAATTTTAAATGTGGATGCACGCTCTTGAAAGGATGTGGTTGGGATGTTCTCTTAGATGCCAACTTTTCTCAAGTGTTTTCTCAGAGGTTTCTCCTTGATTGCCTGCAATTCATCTTCTAAAACCAAGGGCAGCGCTTTTGCCGAGCAGGCTGTCACGTCTCTGAGTAATTACCTCCCGTGTCTTGCATATGTGCCTGCTAATGCATCCTGGAATGAACCTGTGTCTTCTGCATCGCTGCCAAGCGGTGGATTCTCAGTTTGCAAAGTGCTTCTTTTTTGTTGTGTTGTTGCTCGGCCGGGCATTGCTCATCCTCTAATTGTGCGTTTAACCATTATTGTTATTTAGGGGGGAGGGATCTTCCCATTTCTGATTGAACCTTGCACCCGTTTGCCAGCTTGTCGTTGAATTCTTCTTGCCGTGCTCCCAAGTGTGACCTCTGTGGTGTGATGTCAGGTCTGAGATCTAAATACAACTTTAATGCATTATCATTAAATAGTGAACTACCACACCATGCTGGGTATAATCCATCTAAAAGCAGATGATGACTGAATGGGCTTTTTAAGTAGATTTGTGCTTGCTTTAGGGTGATTCATGCGGACCTGACTTTGTTAATAATGTGCCCATTGAAACCTTTCAAAGTTTTTTTTATAAATCTTGGGTAAAATCCCCCAAAATAATAAGCAACATCTTTTAAAAACCACCACTTTACTGGGCTGACACACTGACAACACTGAGTAATTGCCTTCAGCTCCATCCATTGGTGGCACTAATCTCTGTGCTGCCACGTCCTTTCTTTCTGGAAGACAGAAATAACTCCTATTTACTGTAATTGTTTCCCACCTTCCCTCAGAAACTGCCTTTGTGTCTCTTTAGGACTTTCCCTGTTCTCTGGGAGGTCTTTAAAGACAACTGTTGGTTGTTCATCACTTAGTGTGGGGAGTTCAAGTAGAGCAGGCTGATTTGCATCAGGCCTAAAGATCTGAATACATGAAAAGCTATTTAAATAACCTTTTCCAGTTCTGCCCCGCATTTTTTAACTCATCAGAGTTAATTATAGGAAGGCTGCATACAGTTTTCTGGTGGAAGTGAACTGAGTGCTCCAGCCTTCTGTTTCGTTCATCGTCTGCCCTTTTTTTAGTGGGAAGAAGGAATAAAGCTGCGCTTCCTTGTCTAACCTGGTTTCACCTTGGATGTTGTTCTGGTTCATTTGGCTTCTTCATCTTTTCTGGAGGCTTTTATCCGTGCAAGATTCTCCCTGTTATTCTGTGTATACTGTAGCCATCTTGTCTTTGTTTTGCTCTTTTCAATGAGGTTAAATCCTGCAAGCCCAGCTACTTCAGAAAGTGACCTGGATATATTTTAAAGTAACTCTGTGGAACGCTTCAGGACGGACTGTGATAAAAATGAAATGTTCAAGTCCCTGTCAATGAGTAATAGCTTCATCTCATTAATTAGTGAGTAGAATTACCCCTTTGAAAATGAAGCTGCGCTAAATCTCATCTAACCTGAGCCATCAGTGAGACGTGTGCCTCCTCGCAGACCTGCTGGATGCTGCAGCACATCTCCTTGTCGCCTGGCTTTGGGCTGGACGGTCTGCAGCATCGCTTCTGGCATCTCCTGCGTGCAGCCAGCCTGGGGTCTGTGTGCAGGGTGCAGGGCTCCCACATGGCTGGGACAACTCACTCTGCCTGGGGGTGCTGCCTGTTAGTGGAGTCATCTACAGCCCATTCAAGACTGTGTTTTCTCGGCATCTCATTTTAGTATCTCAGGAAACACTCGTCTAGTAGAGAGCTGAAAGTATTTCGTAGGTAATCTGCTTTGTGCTGCTGTGTGTAGCTGCTAGATTGTGGCTGGTGGAAGTGCCGAGCAGCGATTGCACAGCTTGCCCTCTGTGCGTGTTCTTTGCTGCCCTTCTGCAGCAGTGAGACAAGCTGCTTCCCATCCCTGCCCAGGTTTTCAGCATTGCAGAAGCACCCTGTGATCCCCTCCAGGCAATAGCAAGGACAAAACTGGGGATCTGTGTGTGTGGCACAGATATTTTTAGCATCTTGTCTGTTGTTTTTTTTTTTTTAGTTCTGTAATTGCCAAAGCTGTTTCTAGAAATGCAGGGTGAAGCTTCTAGAGGGATGGAGCTGAATTCTTTGGAAAGGGGGGAGTGGGGGAAAAGCTTTTACTTTTGTGACAGAAACCGATGGTATTCATTTTGGCATTTGCAGACCAAGGCCAGTCTTTATCTTATTGCTTCCTCATAAGTATTGGTATAAAACATCATGCATTTCTTGTTACGCACAAGTCAGTTATGTAGCAGCTGATTTAGGAGAGAGGCTTCGGTAACGGTTGGTAAGAAGAAAGCAGCATAGCAGTAACAGCAGATCGGATGCTTCATTAAATGCAGCGCTGTTCTGACTTTCTGAACAAACCCATTCTCTTGAAATGGATCCTTTGCTTCTTGTAGGATCCCTGGGTGGCTGTAGGAAGCTGAGCTGGTAGTGCATTATTTCTTGTGTCAGGGTGGCCAGGTGCGTGCTCTGGCTGTGAGCTAGCTCGCCCCTCAATGAGTGTGCATGTTCAAACCCTGCTTGGACCTCTTTTGTCGTTACTGGTAGAAGAGGTGCTTGGTGCAAATGTTCCCTTCTTACAAGTGGAGCCTTCCTTTGTCAGTGAGTGCAGGGAGTACAGAACCTCTGTCTTGCCTGATTCAATTATTTAGACTGCAGTGCTTTAAAAAACATCCGTGTTTTTCTGTGATTATCATTCATGTTGCAGCAGAGACTGTTGGTTCGGGTTCTTCATTTGATTGAAATATACTTCGATTCTTATCGAATCGATTTGATTGAAAGATACTTCGATTCTTAGAATTAAAAGCAGACACAGCTCTTAAATCCCCACTTGCCAACACACGTGTTGGTGATGCTCTGGTGACACTCAGCACACACAGCAGTGTGGGAGCAAGTCCACAGACCGAAATAAAGACTCAAGTGTCACTTGAGTCTGCTCAGTGCACGTCCCACTGCTTGTGGACACAAAGCTGTCCGCCCCAGCTGTGCTGTTGGTCTCATGGTAACAATCCAAAAGCAAATAGCGTGTGATGGGAACAACCTGTTTTATCTGCAGGACAGTAATTACTTGCTTGGGAAGGAAAGCTCAGCGTGGCTGTAGTTTGGTTCATTTACTTGTTGCCTGGGGCAGCACTGATGCTTGGGTGTTGGCAGTGGAGGCAAAGCCATGTAAGTGATGGAGAAGACCCAACCACTCTTTCTGTCCAGGAGCCCAAAATGGTACAAACAGGGAGAAGGAAACAAAGTGTGATTTGTGTTGTTTTCTTTTTTAACATTCCACCAACAGCGTAACGTTTTATAGCAGTGAACTTGGCTTTGACTGAGAGATGGGGTGGCTTCTTTGATGTCTCCAGACAGGGTTTGGCTTGATGGTATCTGTGCTGCAGCACGGTAACACGGTAGAGGAGATCAAGTGAGACACAACTGCCAAAGGTGTGGGTATTTACAGTGGAACAAACCAATCTGAGATGGACTATTCATAACCGAAGTACTGGAAACGTACTGTAGTGAAGCATCACTTACTTGAATTTAGCATTTTTATGCTTCAGCTCCTATTGGGGGGGCAGAGTGGAGGGGAGTGGATGACTAGAAAATCTGGTCTGGCAGTCTGCAGCAGCAGGGATCATGTTTTTCTGTTTTAGCTCTACTTGAATGCGAGATGTAATCTTTGAAATATTTTAAACAGAGAACTGCTTCAGCACGATGGATTTCTGCATATCATTTACAAAGTATGTTTTTAATGCCTTTCTGAAATCCAAACTTATGCAAAATGGGACTTGTTATGTATGTCTGCGCATTTTAATCTCCGGCAGTGATTTGCCAGTTTTCCTTAGCATCTCCCTGGCATTTTATAACCATTCCTCAACTTCGCTTCACCAGGGATGTGTTTCTGTCTGAGCTCTGCTCGGTTCTCCTGAAGAAGGAAGGAATAGCTGGTTAGCAATTGTATGGTGAGGTCTATCAGCCGCCGTGCCTGTTTTTGTGAGCTGGGAGCAGTACCGGTTGGATGTAAAGACCAGGAAAACCTGAGCGTGGTTTGGGAGTCTTTTATTTTCTGCTGTAGCGTAAGCAGTTGTTAGGCAGCTGCTGTGCTGTTAACGTTCTTGTTTCTATTGATTTGTGTTACTTGTGTGTTTCTGATTCTCACTGCTGATTGGTTAGTGATTTATTATTATTATTATTTTTCTGCTTGGAATGTCTAAAATAGCTCAGCTAACCAAAGAGTTGTTGTGATGTTTTTTCTCTTTCCAGATGGGCTTTCTGGCAGAGACCAGCCAGTAGAGCTGTTGAATCCACCTAGAGTGAACCACATGCCCAGCTCTGGTAAGAAGAAACTTTTATTAAACGTTGCTCCTATTCTGGGAATGCAGTAAAATGTTATGCAGATCTGTCTTACAAGTGGATGAGCGGAATGCAAATGCAGTACGCTGGAACAAAGTGTGTCAGAACTTGCACACATCTACTTTCCCAGGCTGGGCAAGTGGGGTTTGGGAGTGGAGGGGGAGAACAGAGCACAGCAGTTGTGGAGGCTTAAATAACTCAGCCCCAACCCTCGGCAGGGAGCTAAGGGGAGGCTGGCCTGATGGAGCTTCTCATTGTCCTTAGAAAGGAGGGAGCAGCAGTGCAGTGCAGCACCCTATGAGAGTTTTCACAGCTTAAAAGGAGAGCTGCAAACCAAAGTAGGTTTTCTGAGTTTCTATTTGGGGGAAAAACCTCCTTGTGTTGAAATGAGTAAAAAGTCGGAGGCAAACTCAGGCTGATCAAAGCATATCATGCTGATCTCCTGGCTATTTGCTTTTCTTCCCTGTCCTAATGATCCTGCTGCACTGTCTCCTGTGTCTTGTCCTTCTGGTGTGAAGCAGGCAAAGCAGCCAATGCTGCTCTTGGAGGTTGGCTGCTTCTTGCGGAGCAGAGGAGAGAAATCTTACGGCTTGCAGTTAGAGCACTTCAAAAAACAAAAGCAACCGTTTGCATCCAAAATACATGAAATGCTATGAAAAGCAATCTCTTGCTTTCTTTTGTACTTCTGCCTTCTCTTTTCCAAAAGTATTTTGTTTCCAGGCTCATACTGATAAAAATGTTTATACTAGGGATGATTTGATATATGAAGCATCATCTACTTTCCAGGTAGGAGCTCAAATTTTCCCAAACCCCAGCTTTCTCTTCTTGATTGCCTTCCAAAATCCCTTTAGGTCCTTTTATATTAAGGAAGAGATCTTGCAGAAGATGTAAGAGCTTCTGGTAATGCAAGTTGGGAAAATGTAAATGAAGTATATTCAAAACAATTTGAGTAGATCAGGAGGAGGGAAATGGGCTGCGATCTAACCTAGATTTTTGTGGACTTAAATGCATTTCTGGGAAAGGAAACCTTTAAGGAGGGTGAGCTTTTGCGCTGGGGGAAGAGAGGAGACCGTTGTTACCAGCTATGAAGGTTTGGCTTTGCGTTCTGAGAAATCTCTTTTCGCTGCATGTGCTCCAAAGCTCGTCTGTCAAGTAAGGCACGTTAAATTTTCCTAACCCTGAGAGAGATTCTCATTTTAACTCTTCCTTGATAACACAGGTCAACTTAAAGATTTTCCTACCAGTTTTGTATCTGTGTGCTAGATGGAATTTTCTGAGACTGCTTAAGTGCACGAGAGGAATCACATTCCTCACTTCTGTCAGTAAATAGATCAATAGGCAGTATTATAAATGTGTGATGACTTTTAGCCTTCTACTCTATTTTGGAATTGATTTCATTGTTGCTTGTAATGTTTCACATCTTCTTTAGAGGTATTTCAGGACAAAGGGTGCTGCTGGTTAAACAGCTTGGGTAACCTGATGCTAGAGTTCGTCGTTCTCTGTGTTCACCAGATGCTAGGAGGTTGTTTAAAGGGCTATGAACTCTTCAGGATTCATAGAATTCTTACCTTTTGTACTGCATTTTGAGTATTTTCAATAGTTCAGCTCTCTGCCTACTGAAAAATAAGCAGCTAGACATCAATGGAGAGCTGTGCTCATGTGAAGTGGGCATAATGTGAGACAGGCAGCAATGACTCTGTTAGATGACTTCCAGCAGCATTTGAGCCACAGAAACTTCTGTCTCATGCTTGAAAGCTTAGGCCATGCTGGCTGCGTGGTGGGTGAAGGGCAGGAGAGACTTCTGAGGGAAGGGAAATGAAAAAGTGACCTTACACAAGAAGCAGCATCAGCTCTGATCAGGTCACCCTGGTGCTTTTCACTTGGGATCCTGAACTTGGGTTTTGCTGAAGAAATCTTCTCAGCCTTGCTGCTTGTACATGAGCCAGAAATGTGCATCTTATATTTTTAATTTAATTTTAAAACATGGAGGCAGAGCCTGACAAAAAGCAGAAAGGTATTTTGGTGAATCTGTAATGGCAAGCAGATACCACCGACCTTTTGAGTGGCTTATCAGCTGGCTTTCAAGTGTGGTGCCTGCCTATACCTGTGTATCCTGATGAGTTTTTGAAATGAACTGATGGAATAATGGTGAGCAGACCATTGTCCTCCATGTTTTTTGTCATTGCTATGTATAGAAAGTTTGTTGCAGATCCGTCTGAGAGAGGAAAGGGAAAGAAATGCCAAGTCTTGCTTTGGAGAAGGAAGTTGCATTTGGTTTTGTGGGGTGTTACTCCAAGTGTCAGGCATGGCTGAAATAATGGGATTGAAAAACAGCTTAAGGAAAAAGAAAATGCTCAGTCATGTCCTGGGATATTCCCCTCCAAACTTCATGCCCTTGTGGTAAAGCAACTGATTTGTAGCCCTCATGATGAATAAACCCACTGCTGTGTGGCAGAGGATGGTGAGCAACCTGTATCCCCAGTACTGCATTTACAGTTGAGATAAAATCATTGTGGTGAGTTTATAGGAAACCAAAATGTTTTCTCAGACAAACCAAGCAAAGGAGAAGTCTGATCCATGTTCACTGTTCTTCTCTGGTGTAAAAAAGTAGCCAAGGGATGTAAAATACCCAAGTCTAAAGCACGCCCTGTCCTGTCTCGTGGCAGCACCTCAAATATGGAACTGAAGTGTTTAGGGCATTTCTATGAATCTGCTTCAGGAGTGAGTGGGGTTGAGTAGAATGGAGTTCAGTCAGCAACAAAGTGGGGTTTTATGGAGGTGCTTTGTCTCCTTTTCACAAAAAGTAAGGATGAATTCGAGAAAAGATGCATTTTCCCTTTTCAAAAATGTATTGTCTGTAATTGGTGCTTCTGGATTTCAGTTGCTTGTAAAAGGAAAACAAGACAAACTCCCTACAACCCGTATCTCGCTCAGGAATATTATCAGCTGCTGTTAATGATAAACAACCTGTTCCAGCTGCTTTCTGGCTGTACAGCATCAGAATATTGCTGCACACTTGGCTTGGGGTCGGAAAGGGTATCAGTTGTTAGGTGATGGCGCTGTGTTTCCTTTCCTTAACTTCTGCTTGCCGAGTTCATAGAGGTTCAGAGCAGGGACTGCACAGGTACAGACGCTACGGTCAGCAGGACAGAAAGCATTTAGGTTTGTGAGCACGCAGGTGGCTGTTATCTGTTTGTGACCAGTGGCAGTGGATCACTTGCAGAAGCGTGATGGAATGCTGGTTTTAAGTACCCTGTGATTTTAGGGTACTGTTCTTGTTTTTTTCTTAGCAGTGAGTGCACACAGCCTGGGAACAGATTAACATGAAGGAGGGAGGGATAGAATTCTCTTGTCCCCTTACCTTTTCTTCCATGCTTTTAGAATGCCTTTCCATACCGCACGTCTGGGGAGCCAGTCTTAAAGACCTCAAATGAATGAGATATGTTGTAGATAATCCTCTTAAAAACATCACTTATGTACTGTTGACTCCATCCTCTAGATTTGACAAACAGATCATCCTTAAGCATACCTTCACTACTTAGAATGGGTGTTTTTTTCTTCCGTAAGGCTGTGTTTGTGGCATTCTGGGTCAAGCTGTGATAGAGGCAGAAGCAATAATCATGAGCAGGGGATGTCCCAGTGGCAGTGTTGAGCAGGCTGCCCCATCTCCTGTTCACGCAGCCCTGCCCACAGGCCTTTGCTTGTCCCGTATGGGCCTGGGGCTCCGCTGGGCTCGGTGCTGCCATGAGCACACAGTCCGTGCCGGGCAGCCGGAGCCTTTGCTTCTTCCCTGGTCTCATTATCCAGTCTCGCTTCCACATTCATTTGAAAAAGTGCTGATGTATCTGAGAACAAATGGTCTGCGAGAGCCTCCGGACTAATATTGTTACACGATTTTACAGGCTTTTGAAATCCAAGATTAATCCCAGCCTTGACGAGGAAGGAGTGGTAGTGCATTTGGCCTAACAGAGCTGAATAGCGTGCTTTTGTTAATTTATCCCTTCAAAGGAAGAGAATGCCCTCTCGCTACACTGCATTTTCAGATATTTGCTTGCTTTCTATAGCACGTCTGCTTCAAAAGCTCCTTCAGAGCGATACCGAGCCGGTGTGGCGCGGTGGGGCTTTGAAGCAGGTCCGGGTTGCTGCTGGTCAGTCAGGATTTGGAGCTCCCGACAGGTTTGTGCTTCTGCAGACAGGAGCTCGTTGCTCCTTGTTCACACCGGGACGTGTCGGAATGGGGATGCTGTGCAATTTTATGGTGCTGCAGGAGGGGAGCTCGCGTTCTGAAAGGCCAGTGCTTTAATGTTAAAAATATCCTCGTCTGTTCTCCATGCAAGGGGGGCAAAGTGAGTTCTGGAGAAATCACTGTAATGTCAAAACAGTACGCTAGGATCGAATCACTGTTTGCTTATTAGCTTTTTGTTAGCCTATTGTTTGCTTATTTATTAGCTGCAGCTATTTTTGTCAGACCTGGTGGGTGAATTTTTTCACCGTTAAGATGCTCTGACATACGACAGCAAAGAAACTGTGGGTTAATGTAGATTAGAGCCTTGGTAGTTGCTCTGTAAAACCGAGTTAGTACCTGTTGTAGTAAATACAAGGTTTTTTTCCTGCCCTAAGCTAGCAGTGCAAAATGCAGCCTCTGTGATGGCAGTTACTGTTCTCCAACTGGAGGCAGCGGTGAAATTCACCTTTGCAATCCACTGTTCAGCAAGGAAAGCGTTGTGTGCCAAATTGCAAATTTTCCAGTCAGCACCCAGGTGTGAGTGTCGAGTATGAGAAGCTCCAGGAGATTGGACCACTTTTCCTTCTGCTTTGGGTTTGCTGGAGTGGGGACCACTTGAGTGCTTTCCCACAGCGTGGTCCCTGAACTTGGGTGATGGGAAGGAGCTCAGAACTCTTAACTTCTATTTTGTTGTGCTTTTTCTTGGAAAAAAAACCCACGTTTGTTACTTCCTTTCTTAAGCACAAGGAAACAGCTAT